CAGCATCCCATCGCTCAGGTCCTGCGTGATCACGTGATCTTTAAGATCGTTCCCATGCTCAACCCTGACGGCGTGTACCTGGGAAACTACAGGTCAGCTGAAACGAACAATCATGCACATAATATAATATTTTAAATTACATTATCCTTGCTTTTTTTATTGCAACAGTCATATAATAGTTTCCTGTATCACACAGTAAGTTAAATATAATATAGATGTTAATGTATGTTATTAGATATATAATTTATGTTTTTTTTTTTTTTTTCATTTTTACATTTTATTTAATGTCATCATGGTTTCCACAAAAATGTAAAGCGGCACAACTGTTTTCAACATTGATAATAATAATAAATGTTTCCTGAACATGAAATCAGCATATTAGAATGATTTCTGAAGGATTGTGCGATGCAGAAGGCTTGAGTAATGATGCTGAAAATTCAGCTTTGCCATCACAATAATAAATTACATGTTAGAACATATTTAAATACAAAACGTTTATATAAAATTGTAATAATATTTCACATTATTACTTTTTCTACTGTATTTGTTATCAAATAAATGCAGCCTTGGTGAGCATGAGACTTATTTCAAAAACATTAAAAAGACCATACATTTTAGAATAGTCCTGTATGTATGTATGTTTATGCTAATAATAATAATTATTGTTATTATAAGTTTACTGTATTATGTCATCATATGCCCCTTATCTGCCTGACTTAAGTGTTGTCAGTATTTTATAAGACATTTTACACAAGGGAAGTGAACATCTACAGAAGTGAATTGTAACACAACTGTGTGTATGTGTGTGCAGTGGCCAGTCTATGGGGTTGCAGTTGGTCATTCGCAGCAGGTGTTGCCTTCACTCCTAATCCTATTATTGGCTTTTATATAATGGTGGCGATCATTCGGAATACATCAGTGGCTCTCTGCATTTTCCCATAGGCTCGCAGAAACTGCGTTAGTGGCTGCCACCTTGTGACGGCTCTCATGAACTGCAGAGCTGCAGAGGTGGATCAATGGTTCAATGGTGGTGACAGGACTGACATACGACATACGCCGCCACTGACCCTTAAAGGTGCTCTCGGCAGCAACTTTAACCGATGCTGCCTCACCGAGAGCCATTGAGGTCCACAGTTAGAGATCAGATCCATCTCTCTCTTTCTCTCTGTGCTGAATCAGTAGTTTTTCTGTAGAGAGAGAGAGAGAGAGAAGCACAAGCAGATGCAGGAGGGGACATGGGATCAATCCTTGCTGACTGGGGATTAGTGTTGTTCTGAGAGCAGCAGCATTGACTGCAGGTTCAGCTCAAAGTCACAGTCACACAGTCTCAGCTGGACAGCAGCAGGGGCTCAGGCGTCTGTCCGTCCCCCACATCAGTCCACTGCCTCAGGGAAAGGAAAATAACAAACAGAGACCTGTAGGAAAGATCACTTGAGATGGTACATGTCCAATGGTGTGGAAGAAGAAAACTCTTAATATCGCCCAAAACACCAGAGATCTGCCAATTTGTGTCTGTAAATGTAGAGCAGTATGGTTGTCTTTAGTGTGGACCATGATTGCTTTTAAAGGAATAGTTCACCAAAAAATGAAAATCTGCTGAAAATGTACTAACCCTCTGGCCATCCACGTTGTAGATGGGCTTGTTTCTTCATCATAACAGATTTGGAGAAATCTAGCAGTACATCACTTGTTCACCAATGGATTCTCTAAATAGGTCCCATCAGAAGGAGAGTTCAGACAGCTGATAAAAGCATCACAATAATCCACAAATAATCCACATGACTCTAGTCAATCAGCAGTGGAGCAAAAACGGGGTATGCAGTGCATATGGGCGCCGCACATAGGGGGGCGCTATTTTGCTGAAATCATTATGTGAAAATCTTCTTTAATAAAACATTATAAATAATCAAAAGCTTAGTTGTTAAAATAATGTAATGAAACATTTTTATTTAACGGTTTTTAGCATTTTTAATTAGTTCATAAATGTATTTACTATAAACTTAAGACGCTGAACCGCCATGTCTCTTTACGACCGCAACAAACGGGAGACTTGTTCAGACGCGCACTTCAGCTTTCCCTCAGTGCGCGAGTCAAACTTATAGCAAAATGTGGTAGTTCTGTATGTTGTTTCAGGGTTGGCATCATCTGAGGTTCTCTGAGGGGTTGGCATCATCTCTTCTCAGGTGTTCTGGATACAGACTGAAGCTTGTGTAAATCCTAGTTACCAGTGGCAAAAACAGAGAAACAAATAGAGACATAATTAGCATAGCTGCTGTTCCAACCAAGCAAAATGGATTTGTTTAACCCAAACTAAAGAATAATAATAATGTGCATTTGATCAGATATAACTGCAGTACAAAATTATGATATGCATTATTTGAATGCTTGGCCAAAGAGATGTGTCTTTAATCTAGATTTAAACAGAGAGAGAGTTTACTCGCGATCTTTACAACATGCATTACATTACATATTTCATGGCACACTCATTTTATGCGTATTTGGCGCCACCTAGTGTTGTGGGTGCATTATTGACATGTCAAAGTCTAGACCCTGAATATAAGACGACCGCGTTTTTTCAGATGTATTTCCAAGAAAAAAATATCGTCTTATATTCGGGACAATACGGTATTTGTTTTTCTACCAGATGAAATCTTGGCAGAAATCTTTAACTTTGCATGGCAAATTTTCCATGAATTATCTCTATAAGTAAAAATGAAAAAATACATATGTTCTTTAAAGTAAATTTTACTTACAGTGTTCTCATTTTATATAAAAATGTGCAAAAAATATGAATAACTTTGAGGCAAATGAATAATGTGTGTGTGTGTGTGTGTGTGCGTGCGCGCTACTGTCTGGGGTCCGCCATAGGAGTTAAAGGGGATGTTATGTGACACACTCCCCCCTTTTTTCCACTTTTTTCTCTCCTGATGAGTTTGTATCCTTCCATGCGCAAGCTAGTGAATGGGCTTTTGCTCAATGACTTGCAGAAAGTTTTCGCCAACACTGATCTTGCATACCCCTTGGCAAATGTGCAGTTGCGCCCCTGTCCATCAGTTTACATCTTGTAAAATGAAAAGCTGTGAAAGTGAAAGTGATGTGACATGTGGCCAAGTATGGTGACCCATACTTGGAATTAGTGCTCTGCATTTATCCCATCCAAAGTGCACACACACAGCAGTGAACACACACACACACCGTGAACACACACCCAGCGCAGTGGGCAGCCATTTTTGCTGCGGCGCCCGGGGAGCAGTTGGGGGTTCGGTGCCTTGCTCAAGGGCACCCCAGTCGTGGTATTGAAGGTGGGAGAGAGCGCACGTACATTCACTGCCCCCACCTACAATCCCTGCCGGTACGAGACTCGAACCCGCAACCTTTGGGTTACGAGTCCGACTCTCTAACCATTAGGCCACGACTTCCCCAAGTGTGTTTGCAATTAACAAATCCATCAAGATGTTTTTAACTTCATATTGTTGCTTCTGGTTAAAATACGAGTCCTATATCCATGATATCGCTTTCTCCAGTGAAAAAGTCGTCTAGTCTGAAATAGGAGAGAAATATGCACAGATCAAGCTCCTGTTTACATGCGAAAACAGTCCTTTAAAATACAGTCATTGAAGTATTACATATCAAATTATTATAGTATAGCCACAATGAAAGTGTTTGAACCTTTGAAATCTGAATTAAAATTAATAATATGTAATTTAATTGCGTAAACCAACTAGAAACTCTAATGAATGCAAATCTGCTGATTTTGAAATGTTTATGACAGACGTCACAGCCTTCGCCCTCACAGCATTTTGATGTTTTTCAACTTTCATTTGCATAAAGTTGAATATTTCACAACTTTTTGATGCTTACTACTCTCTGCTATCAATCCCACAGTCTCCTTCACGAGTCTGCCTCTCATCTCCCATAGAGAATGAATTGTACTGCGTGTGTGATTTTCTGCAGTTCTGACCGCAGAATGTGTGTGGATTTCAATTTGAGCTTATCTGTGATGTTCAAACCAATAACTTATTATCACTTCAAGTACATAACATGAAAGCTTGTGGTTTCACAGCCTCGCCCACATGGAATCTCATTGTTCCAAAATCTCCCCATAGTAATATTTTAAACATCAAATATGTTCATATTCACTGTGATAATATCACTTTGCGCTGTATTTTGCTTTCTGTGAGGTCTGCCAAAAAAGATGAAGGTGTTGGTGTTTTGCCATTGTTTTACTGAGTTGAATTTTTGATTTGTTTGTATTTATTTTAGGTGTTCTCTAATGGGCTTCGATCTGAACCGTCACTGGCAGGACCCTTCCCCTTGGGCCCATCCCACTTTACATGCCGTCAAACAACTCATTGTCCAAATGAACCAGGACCCAGTGAGTATCCATTCTGATTCTGAATCCATTCTGATATATAATATGATTTAATATGCTATATATTTGCATTTAGTCATTTAGTCAAATATATTAGATTAATTTTATTTTTCGTTAAAAAAACTATTTAAACAAAAACATTTAGTAAAAATATCTACAATGGCAGGAGAGGAGAGTTGGATAAAATGTTTAGTTGTAGGTCAGATTTGAGATACCATATTTGAAAGGGGCTCAAATCGAATAGTCATAAGTGTTTTTACTAAACACAAGCAACAAGACCCAATCTGTGCAAGAAACTGGAATTGAGCCTCACTTCTAATTGTCTCTATATATTTAACTAGGTTAGGAGAAAGTATTTTACCGTTGAGCTTTAAAGGAGACATATTATGCCCCTTTTTACAATATGTAATATAAGTCTCTGGTGTCCTCAGAATGTGTCTGTGAAGTTTCAGCTCAAAATGCTCAACAGATCATTTATTATATAATTTTGAAAATCCCTATTTTGAGTGGAAGCAGAAACACGCTGTTTTTCGGGCCTGTGTCTTTAAATGCAAATTAGCTGCTCCTCCCCACCCCCTTTTCCAAAATAGAGCTGCGCCATTACAGCTCGTATCTGCTAAATTCTCTAATGGGCTTCGATCTGAACCGTCACTGGCAGGACCCTTCCCCTTGGGCCCATCCCACTTTACATGCCGTCAAACAACTCATTGTCCAAATGAACCAGGACCCAGTGAGTATCCATTCTGATTCTGAATCCATTCTGATTTCATTTCATTTTCCCTTTTGTGAATATATATAATATTATTTTATATTTTAATATATTATATATATAAAAAAATTTGAAGTTTCAGCTCAAAATGCTCAACAGATCATTTATTATATAATTTTGAAAATCCCTATTTTGAGTGGAAGCAGAAACACGCTGTTTTTCGGGCCTGTGTCTTTAAATGCAAATTAGCTGCTCCTCCCCACCCCCTTTTCCAAAATAGAGCTGCGCCATTACAGCTCGTATCTGCTAAAAACATCTGTTTTGGTTCTGATTATCTTGTTTATCTCGCTGAAATCATGAGTTTTAAACCATATTTGAGATCCCTTTGCCACGTCACCAAGGGAGCGAAATCTGACGCGCTCGTTTTCTCAGATGCTTGCAGAAAAAGGCTTCCCAAAACAAAGTTACTGGGTTAATCTTTTTCACGTTTCCTTGGTTGGTAGATGCACTGAGGACCTGATTATAGCACTTAAAACCTGGGAAAGTCCGATTTTTATGATATGTCACCGTTAATAAAAACACACTTACACACTGTCTTTAAAACACATGGTTATGTATAGTATGGATAACAACCTGACTCAGCATATAGGAACCAATGTACTATTCAAAGCAGCTACAACTTAGCATTTTTCTCAGTGAGTGTATCTGTGTGAGTGTTTGCACTCCCTCTGCCCAGGTGAGTCTCCCACACACACTTCACTCAACTTGTCTTTTGTTTGAGAAAGCACCGCCTCAACTTCCTTTATGTTAATTATAGCAGAAGAGTGAGGTTGTTGGATTAGTGAAGGTCAGATGCTGTTCTGGGAATCGCCTGCCCTTTCCTGCTCTTTCACATCCTGATAAGACCGGCAGGCACACTCAGGAGCGGAGGGCAGCGCCACGCGGCTTAACCTTTCCCCCAGGCCTGACACACTGATCTGTATGTTACTTCACGGCAGAGTGATCTTCTCATGTCTCTCACATCCCGACAAACACACACACATGTGCTTCATTACACTGTGAGATTAGATGTGAGGAACGCAGTTGAACACTTTCCATGGGTCCTCAATGGATCCAAGCAGCAAATAATTGAAACAAGCAGCTTTGCAACTCTTACTTGATCACTTCGTTTGATTGAGCACCCCAATCACCTTAAAGGGATAGTTCACCCAAAAATGGAAATTCTGTCATTAATTTCTCAATTAATTTATTACTTCAACAATTTATTTTCTTTCGTGTCAGTCGTCGATGCGCGTTCACGACAGTACTCTTGTGAACGCACGTCGAAGACTGACATGGAAAAGAAGAAATTGTTGAATAAAGTCATTATTTTTGTTTTCTTTGTGCACAGAAAGTATTCTCGTAGCTTCATAAAATTAAGGTTGAGCCACTGATGTCACATGGACTATTTTAACAATGTCCTTACTACCTTTCTGGGCCTTGAACATGGTAGTTGTGTTGCTGTCTACGCAGGGTCAGAAAGCTCTCGGATTTCATCAAAAATATCTTAATTTTTTTGTTGAAACTGTGATACTTTTTCAGGATTCAAAAGAACATTTATTTGCAATAGACATCTTTTTTTATTATTATAAATGTCTTTAATGTCACTTTTGACTTACTTAATGCCTTTTTGCTGAGTAGATTTTTTTTCCCTTTTTCCTTTAAAAAAAAAAAAGTCTTACTGACCCCAGACATTTGAATGGTGTATAATAATTTGATTTGGTGATTGTGAGTGTATGTGTATATTTATTGTGTGTGTGTGTATATATATATATATATATATATATATTGATTTGTATTTGGCATTTTCCATAATGCCTGTTGAATTTCTCTGAATTGTAGTTCAGTAAAATTCCACTTCCTTTCATTCCAATTCAAAATCCAACTCTCACTGTCTTACTGAGTTGAAATGAAATGAAAGAGGCAGCTAGTTTACACAGATGTATAAGATGCTGGTTTTATGAGGAGAGAGTGTATGTAGGCAGGAGAGAGGGACTCTCGGGAGAGGTAAACATTTCATAGCTCTCTCTGAATCCCTCACTTTGTGTCCTTGTTTCATTCCCTTCTGTCCTTTTAAAGAGATTTAGTGGGGTTTGGGAAATCACAGTGCCCCTTTCTCTTTTTTTGTGTAGTTGTTGCTAATAGCAAGCTCACACTAAGTTTGAGTAGTTGCCAGTTTAAGCACATGAAGTCAGAAGTTCACCTATCACTTAGAGGGGTCACCAAGGGGACATAACCAGGAAAATGTTATTTCCCCTGTATGTAGTTAGTCATTAAGCTGATGCTTTTATCCAAAGCGACTTGCAGTACACTTATTACAGAAACAATCCACCTGGAGTTTAGTTGCTCAAGGCAGTGTACCACAAATCCTGACAGCCCTCGACGAACCACAAAGATGTCACACATGAGCATTGAAATTAACACAGTGTTGATACAGTAATGCTTTTGGCTTGCTGTGTATTAACAGTGAAGATTTAAATGTTGAACAAACAGTAAATGCAGAACAAGAATGTTCTAGAATGGAGCTGCTTCTCAAATCTTTCCTTTGCACCACAAAAGCAGTTTACCTGGCAAAATCTGCTCCTGTGTGTAAATATACAGTATGTTTGTGACTTCTATCCAGTATAAAACTAGGCAGTGTGCATTTAATCATATTAATATTATTGGGTTGGGTATTAATATAGATTTCCTGATATGTCTGATTTTGCTGCAGTTTTGATTCAGTTCTGTACATTTCAGCTATAATGTCCATTTTATTACATATGAAAGACATCTTCTAAACTGTTGATGTAAATTTTACAGGGGACACCCTAATTTTGTACATTACAAAAATTACATTTAATAATAGGGCCTAAATTATTATGTTTGTGTATTTTTTTCCATAAATACAATAGTGTTTTTTTTATAAAAATATTGATATATTTTATGGAAATATTCTGTGAGGATAACTCCATTGAAAGATGTGTTTTCTTGTCATTATTGTGTGGTACATGTCTTCGTTATCTTATCACATACTATTTGGACTTTAAACTCCAGTAAAATGTTTATTTTGTCATGGGGAATCATTTTTATTGGTTCATATGTCTTTTGTATCCATTCTGATGCCTCTTAGGCTTGATTTTAAGATTCACCCCACCAAGTGTTAATCTTGGGAAATCAAGAGAAATCTCAACTTGCAGAATGAGAAGTATTGAGTATGCTATTGTGAGATGAGCCTATATGACTTGCTAATGTCTGTGAGGCAGTTTAGATTTGGATGGAGTTTTGGATTACTTGTGCATTTGTTGTCGTTGTTTTTGTTGTTCAATATGGGTTTTTGACTGATAAATACATCCCAGTATGCACAACAGAGGAGGAAAGATCAGGATGGGGAAACACTTCCCTCCACAACATCACACTGAGTATCTCACAGCTATACTGACAAATACATACAAATGCAAACAAGCACACTCACACATACACAAACACAAACACATACAAATATGCGTGCCATGCGAGATCTCAAGCCAGACTGGCATTGGCTGTGTTCTCTATGGGTAATCACGTTAGACACAGCACAGATCAAAGCTATGGGATGTCAATCTCTGTGCCAGCCCTCTGACAGGGGGGCAATGCCCACTGCCCACTGGCACATTCCACCAATATGGTACACTTTGGTCTCACATTATTTTTAAAGCATTAGAGGCATAACTCCCATGTTTTTTTGTTTTTTTTTTTATAGAGAGAGAAAGAACTGTTAGATATGTCTGACAAACTATTATATTACAAAAAGTTAAACTAGAATGAAAAGTAATTAGTTTTAAATTTGTAATTAATTAAGTAGTTTTAATTAATTCTTTTGTCAGATATCTGTATCTTAAAAAAAGAAAGAAAATGTATTTAACACGATTTGATAATATTATTTTGACCCATTCTACAGAATTTTATTTCATTTCATTTCATTTTATTTTATAATTTTTTTTCTATTTCTATTTTTCTATTCTATTCTATTCTATTCCCAAAAAAATGTCTTGTGATGGCAAAGCTGCATTTCAAGTTTCCAATCTTCAGTATCACCTGATCCTTCAGAAATCATTCTAATATGCTTATTTAGTGCTCAAGAAACATTTCTAATTATGAATATTGGAAACAGTAGTGCTGCCTAATATTTTTGTGGAAACCATGATACTTTTTTATCAGAATTCTTTGACTAAAGGTCAAAAGAACAGGATCGATAGATTTATAGATAAAATGTCAAATATTTTATATATTATTTACATATAAATATATATAAATAATATATATAATTAAATATATATTTGTCAAATATATATAGATTTTTTTTAACAATGTAAAAATCTTTACTTTTGAATTTACTGCATACTTGTATAACAGTATTAATAACAGTATTAATTTCTTAAATATTAATTTGTATATGAATATAACACATATATATTGTATATGTGTGTTATACACACACACACACACACACATATACAAGTTAATATTAATTAATATTGTGTGAGTCCTTGAATCTGACCTGATATTTCACCAGTATCAGAACATTTAATTTTATTTCCAGTTTTAAGTTTATTCATTTTTATTATTTTTGTAATAAATATTTTTGTCAATTTATTGTTTGAATACAATAGCAAAATCACATGAATTAGGGTTGTTGCTTGTATTTACATATTGCTAACAGGGTTGAAAAATACTTTTTTGAAGGATAAGCACCTCCTGGTTTTTTTTAAGAAAATGCATCCTTCCACACAGACACACTATCATATTCAGCTGCACACAAACACTGTAGCACAGATAGTAATTAGTCTGCAAGACTGCAACTAGTTCAACAGCAGACAGAGTTCAGTGCCAAGTCAACACACCAGCTCCCCGTTCCCAGCATGCTAACATAGACCATGCTAAGCTAACGCATGTTAATCTAAAAATACTCACCTTTTAATTGCATAAACCTTTCTTGGTTAGCTTGCATACCATACTGAGCCAAATATGTTTAAACCTGTGCTAGCAGAAAGAGTACTTTACACCACTGCTGAAATGATACCAATATAATATAAAGTTTATTGCATTTCTACAACAATTTATATTGGCAATGACTTTGTATTTGCATTGAGGATACAGCTATTTTGGTCCTAATTATTCAGTTTATTAATGCTAAGTGTTTTCATTGCCTTTTTCAGTGGTGTCATTGAAGTTTTTTTTGGTTTGTGCCAGAAACAAGCCCATATTTAGGTACATTTTGAACACCTCATTGATGTGATTTTGGGTTTAATCCATCTCTTTGGGCACTAAAGTCACCTGAGTGGTTTTTAAACCAAAACAATTCGCCATATTACACTCTCGAGTGAGCAGGTGAGAACATGACTCAAAGTTAGTGATGCAGGTGTATATAATCTGTCCATGAGCACTAAGTATTTGTTTAGGAAAAATGAAAGAGAAAGAGAGAGAGAGAGGGAGGGAAAAAATAAGGAAACAAATGGACCTATCTCCTGCGTAAAACGCTGCCCATTTATCATGGAGAGAGAGGGATTCTTTTTGATTGGCTGATTACCTCGATCATTCATCATGGCCCTCAGATTTTTGTGCTCAAGAAACATTTCTTATTATCAATGGTAAAAAAAAAGTTGTGCTGCTTAATATTTTTGTTTAAAACTGATCTTTTTTCATTAAAGTTTAAAAGAACAGAATCTGAAATAGTAACAATTTAAAAATATTTACTTTAACTTTTGATCAATTTCATGCGCCCTTGGTGAATAACAGTATAAATATTGCATATTATATATAGTGTGTGTGTGTGTGTGTGTATGTGTGTGAGAACATATGAATGTCATCACAACATTCAAAAATATTTATTAATGTAGCTATTTTACCCAGCTCGAATTTTAAGCCACATCTGTGTTGAGCTGAAGATCTGTGTAGCATCTCTAATGAAGGAAGAAATTAAGGAGGATGGAAACTGTTGCACTATGGAACGCTGCCATTTTCCACCCTGGCAAACATCTGAAAAGCAAGATATAATCTGAACTCTGTCTGATGAGCTGTCTTTTCAAAGATCACGCACACAGACGCCTTCCATCTTTCCTTTTCGGCTTTCGCGTTGCATGTAATTGTGTGTTTTGACTTCAATCAGAATATTTTCCACATCACAACTGTATTTCAAGTCTTGCATTATCAAAAACCGCACAGACTTTCTTTTCCCCTCATCTGTGGAGAATGGGCAAACTTCTGAGCGAGCAGAATCTGTTGCGTCCTCTCTTCATAGGTATTGCTGATGCTAAGTGCTCTGTGGTTAAATGCATCAGCTTCTAATCCTGCTTAAATCAGCACCATTTCTTAATTCATACAGATAAGCAGAGCATTTATGGGCCTTAACAGCCCAGACTAATTACTATTCCTTAAGATAAGTGCTCGTCCGACTAAATTCTTTTGACCTTCCATTTATACTAAAAGGAACAGATAGACGTTGCCTGCTATCCTCACACACAAAATTTTTTGCATGTAACATTTTTTACATGTACTTGAATATTCAACACGTCAACACTGAAATTATGCTCTATTTTCATATTCCTTAATTGCCCTTAATTGCTTAATTACAAATTCAAATGAACAAATCTGGAGGTCAGAAACGCATGCTAATTGAACAATCAATCAGCATTAAGCTGGCGGAGTATTGTCCACCTTTGATTGACAGCACATTAAGAGTGTGTGATTGGCTGTCTGTTTGTTGACATTGAGGGCTGTAGATGGTGACTGTACTTTTCTGTCATGAACGTCCTTGATATTGCATAAGGAAAATCAAGTCGGAATTTCAAGACGGGTGTAATTTTCACTTTGAAAGATGATGCTTTAATACCACAGGAAGAGATTGGTCATTCTTACTATGCAGTATGTTTTCATGTCCCCATCACATGTCTTTATATAGGGGATAATACGCAATTCACAGTTTTTAAATATGGAAATCATATTATGCTATTTTAATAACCGTATTGGAATTATGTGATTATAGAGGTAAATTATACAATGATTTTATTCATTTATTTATTTAGATAATGAAATTTAAATATTAAGTATTTAATTAATTAAATTAAGTAGTAAGTATTTATTTATTTTAGTATTATTTATATACTATTATAGTAGTTAATATTTTGGGTAAGCTTTTATTTTTACATTAAATGGATAGTTCACCCAAAAAATGTTTGCGCTCAAAAAGTATTCTCATAGCTTCGCAAAACTGAAGTTGAGCCACTGATGTCACATGGATTGTTTTACCGATGTCCTTACTACGTTTCTGGACCTGGGAACATTGCAGTTGCGTTGCTGTCTATGCAGGGCTATGAGCAAGAGATAAGGTGAAGGTGTGAGTAAAGTCAGCGGCCCCACCCCGACTTTGTAATGCACTGCGAGTATGTGGGCGATTAGAGAGTCACGCGCCTCTATTGCACACTGGGAACCCCTTGAAGGAGCTGATGGAGCTACCTTAACAGTGACCAGTGCCTCTCTCTCTCTCGTTTTCCCTCCTCCTCTTTTTTTTTGTCTGTGTGTTGTTCTCCCTCTTCCTTGCGGGCTCCATCCATCAGACTGGCATGCGTGCAGCCGCCCCGCTCTCAGCCACCATATTTCACCGCCTGCCATCAGAGGCCTGACAGCCCTGCGCTCACTAGGAAATTGCTTTGGCTGTGAGCAGAATTTCAAGCACCGGGTACTGCCCGATCTCTCCCCCCACTCGCATCTCTCTCGGTCTTTGACTCCTGATGTTTCTCTTTCTCTCTCGCTCTCTCTCTTCCTTACTTCTGCTTTACCTCCCTCTCCTGACGACCCGCGGGATTCGAGGTGCGCTTCGGAATGCGTAATGAAAAAAAGAAAAGGTTCAGTGTAGATGGAGAGAGCGCGGGAGGGGGTCAAAGGGTAGAGGAGTCGGCCCTATTATGCCTGCATCAGATGCTTACAATGTACACAACGGATGGAGAGAGATAGGCAGCCTCAAACAAAATGGCCATTACTTTGTTGCCGTATAGATAGGCGTAGCAAGCTGCTCCTTTTGATGCCTTGTCACCGAAGTGCTGTGACTCACTCTTTCTCTCTCACCCACACACAATAACACACACACAAGGCGCATCAAACGGCAGCCATCCTCCGCCTGGCGACACCTCGTTCTGCTCGACAGCATGATCCTCTCTCGACACAAAACCACACACAAGTGTCTCTCTCATCATCTTGCCAAGCGCAAGCTTAATGATGTGGCAGCCATGATGGAGCGGCAGTTTCCTGCACTGCATTGCTGTTAGACTGTAACTGAGACAACACAGAGCCAAAATGGCGTGTGGGAGGCTTGAGAGGGGGCGTATCTGAAGGATTGTCCACTGTTTGAGCACTTTAAAGGCTTTTTTTGAGGATGTAAACACTTTTCACATATTTATATGTCTGTTTATACTGTTTTCACAGAAGTATTACACGTGTTCGTTCTTCTTTGTTGAGATGTTTCTTTTTGGTGACACTTTGCCATTTGTTTCCCGAATTGAATTTCTGCTCTGTGAGTTTTTTTTTTGCTGACAAATATTATTGTATGTGTTTCCCGGTCCATATTAATCATTTATTCTGCATTAAGCGTCTGAAATCCGGCCCATAGTTGAGGTAGTGAGGCATGCCTGCTTCGCTTGCTGACTCAGGAGCATGAATTAATCCCTCTAAACTATGGCAGTTGTGACAGCTGTTCTATAAAACACCCAGGAGTGTTGTTGCTCTTTCACAGGACTGTGATGAATAATGCTGTGCTTATTTTTGCACTCGGAGCATCAGTGATGTGAAACCACAGCATAGTTTGATAGTTTAATATTTAAGATGTTTGCTTGCTGTTTTTCTATGGACAGTCAATCTCTTACTGTCTGTGTTGTCATCATCATTTCTTGTTCTTGTATCCAGTTATGAAGTTATACTACTGTTATGTACCAAAACATTTGGGGTTGGTAAGATATGGATTTTTTTTGGGGGGGTGGGGACATGTTTGATGTTTCTGAAAAAAAGTCTCTTAAGTTAGACTGCATTAATTTGATCAAAAATACAGTAAAAATAGTATTTTTGTGAAATATTAATTTAAAATAACTGTTTCCTTTTTTGATAGGATTTGTTTTAAAATGTAATTTATTCCTTTAATGGCAAAGCTGAATTTTCTTTCATGTCACAAGATCCTTCAGAAATCTTTTTTTTTTTTTTTTTTCAAAAGAACAGCAATTATTTACAATAGAAATCTTTTGTAATATTATAAATGTCTTTACTGTCTGTCATTTTTTATCAATTAAAAGCATCCTTGCTGATTAAAAATACACATTTCTTAAAAAACCTTTCTGACCCCAAACTTTTGAGCTGTAATATATACAGTATATTATGAATATGAATGTACATATTGAACAATCCTTAAAACATTTTAAACATTTTTTATAAAGATTTTTTTTTCTCTTTTGTTGATAATGTGGTGATTTATTTATTTCTTTTAAATATTGTTCACAGTATGTGTTCTGCCTGTTTATCTTTCCACTTGTCTGTCTGATCTCTCTCAATCATTGTGTCTCTCTCCATCTGATTTACAGAAAGTGAGTTTGGAGTTCTACATCGACGTGCACGCCCACTCCACCATGATGAATGGCTTCATGTATGGTAACGTCTTTGAGGAAGAGGAGAGAGGGCAGAGACAGGCCGTTTTTCCTCAACTCCTATGCCAAAACGCACCTGACTTCTCTCTTGTGAGTTTCATGGGTATTACCATTTTAGTGCCTTTTACCTTTTAGTGCTCTTTTGTTAAAAACACAAAGAAGTCCCTCAAACTGTTGTAAGGTTGCCTATTTGTTAGTCTGTTTGTTTGTTTGTTTGTATATGTATATATGTATATGTTTCCTGCATAAACACCTTGGCTTAAAGGTAGGGCTGCACGATAAATCGCATGCGATATTTAACGCGCATCTTGTCAGAAAGCCGGTTCTGTAATCAGCGGTAAATCTCCATCACGTGTGTGCTTTCACATTGAGCAGCATTAACTACACAGAGCCGTTGTTCACTGACGAGCTGCGCAAAAAATCGCGCGAATATGAACGTTTCACTCAAAAATGAAAATTGTGTCATAATTTACAAGTTGTTTCAAACCTATATGACATTCTTTCTTCTGTGGAACACATTTTGGAAAATGTAATGTTTTGAACCACAACATTCTTTAAAATATTTTGTGACAATTTTTAATTTTGGTTGAACTGTCTCTTTATTGTATTGAAGCATATGCACTAACTACTAGGCTATAGATTACTCCAAATTCTGAAAAATACAGTGTGAAATATCTTATAAATTGTTAATACGTTACTATTTCATTATTTGTTACTGCATGTAGATGAAAATTAAGAATAGCAGCATAAATGTAGCGCATGACATAACAAGGTAACATTGAAGTTCCAGTCTGTAGTTACACTGATGGGTTCCTTCTTTTCTTCAGCAAAAGAAAATCATTGGCTGAATTTCATCTCCGTCAGCCTTTTCCCTCTCAGCTCTATACTCATTAACAAACAGCGCATGGAAAAGCGTTATTGGTATTTTCTCTAAAAATTCAATACGCTCCATAAATTAGCAAATTTTTTGTTTCCAAGACGAAGCGCATCAACACAAGCTATTTTTCCAGGGGATGGCAAGTAACCTTTTCAATCCTGCAGAGCAAGACAATAACCAGACTCAATATTGCTGATGGGGTGTCTATATGAGAGGAGCAGAGACACTTTAACCATTTGCCACGGTGAAGCTCTTTTGGATGAGTCGGGAACCGCATGCTGATGAGGACACGTTTATATACGTCTGAGAAGATACATGAACCATCCGTACACCCAGTGCCTTCATAACACAGAGCTAGAGAGACATTATTGCGTCTGCTCATCGGCACAGACCGAATCCTCCATATCTCAGCCCCCTTTTCATTTTTTCACTTGACAGCTATATTAATTGGTAATTTCCACACGGTTTTCAGTGTCAGAATGGGATAACATGAATCAAAAAGATTGGTTGGTCTTTATTTGCTTTGTTTGTTTACAAATTTACTTCTGGTTTATTTGTCGTCTGTTTTCAGAAGGATTGTTTGGATGGATGTGTCTTCCAGCTCATTGCAACCCTTCCACTCTTTCAGCATTCTTCTTTCTTGTTCTACCATTCATCTGGGCTCCATTATAGTTTCCAGGGGCTGTTTCTATCTTTGGTCTCATCATTATGATCATGGTGTAGTGAATAAAAGCAAATAGATGGATGGAAAAAGCAAAGATTGATAGCAGACTGATTGATAAACTTTTGGATGATAGAATGAATAGATGTATGGATAAATGAACGGACAGATGGATGGATAGATACAAAATGTATAAATTAATATTGATTAATCAATTAATATGTTGTGTGGTTGGATCGATTGATAGATAAATGAATATACACAAAATGGATACTGGAACTGATTGATGGATAGATGGATGGATAGAAGGAAATGTGGGTAGATAGATGGCTAGTTAGGAAGATGAGATAGGTAGATAGATAGATAGATAGATAGACAGACAGGTAGACTGACAGGTTAGAAGATGATTGGAAATATGGGTAGATAGATGGGTAGATAGGTAGATGGTAGGAGTGGGCGGTATGACCAAAATTTTGTTTAACGGTATGACAAATTTTATTTCACTGTAGCGATATATTATAGTTATTTATATATGTAGTTATTCTGAAAATGGACAAAAAGGGCTTTATATAATAAATAAACTCAAATACTTTAGAAATGAAATGTACCTTGTTAGATTTTTCTTTTTCTTTTGTTTGGTAAATTATTTATTTACACTCTAAAAAATGCTGGGTTGTTTCAATCCAACTTTGGGTCAAATATGGACTAATCCAGCTGTTGGGTTAAATCAGGGGTATCAAACTCAGTTCCTGGAGGGCCACTGCCCTACAGAGTTTTAGAGTTTAGAATTTTCATTTTTGGGTGAACTAACCCTTTAACAAGCAGGTTGTTAATTATCACGGCAACTGCTTGCATGTCCACATTGAATGCTTTTCTCATGTGTAAAAATTAACTGTAACATTACACATAAGAGGCAGAAAGATGCAGATAACTAAACATTATTTAAGGCTGTTTCTATTCATTATGACATTGATATATACAAACTGTTGCAGTCAAGCTTAATTCATAATGCTCCCTCCGTTGTGGTTAATACAGTTGCGGTTACTGGGCATGCGCACATCAATATAGCGTAATTTTTGTCACGCTGAACAACAATTACTAGGTAGATGGGTAGGAATGTGGATGGGTGGATAGAAATATGGGTAGATGGATACAGTAGGTGGATGGATGGATGAAAATATGGGTAGATAGATGGGTAGATATGTGTAGACAAACAGATAGAGGTAGATAGGTGGATGAATAGAAATATGTGTAGATGGATAGATGGAAAATTGCTAAAGTGATTAATAGATGGACAAGTAAATGGATGGATGGACAGATGGATGTGCTTGTTTCCTGGAGGGCGGTGTGTGTGGGTGGGTGTGTAACCTCAACACTGCACTGTATTTTGCTTACCTACAGTTTTACTCCAGTGATGGTCCCATTGTGGAGGTCCCCCTCTCCCCTCCCTGCGGCCCCTAATGCTCTGTGTCGCTCTCTTTGTCAGCATGCGGTTCCTCCAGCCTGCATCAGTGACCTTCAGCATGCAGGAAGTGTGACATTTCAGTAGCTCAGCCAGCAGAATGCAGGCAGAGGACTAACCTTTACTGCCCAGTCACCCATCAAGAACTCACAGACTTCTCTCATTCTTACACAAAGAGCCGCTTTTCACAGCCCATGACTATTCTCTGCCTCACCGAAAAAAATGTCACCACATTATTTATGATCCTCTATAAATGCTGTTTGTGTTTTGTGCGTGTGTGCATGCACAATTTAAGGGTAAGCTCTGTCTTTTTGGATCTAATGCATCGTGTGTTTTGAAGCTAAGCTCTCTGAAGCATCGTTACGAGTTTGTTGTGTGTGTGTGTGTGGTGACAGGAGGGCATAGAGGGCATAGAGGGCAGGTCTCCAGCTGGCATGTTGCCTTCTCTCTCTGCCTATTCAGCACAAAACCATCCCAAAGTTCATCCGGCATTTTGAGGGAGAGCTGCCTCTGGAGAGAGTCATGTCTCAACTGCGCTTAGCCACCAGCAACGCATCACACTGACACTAGATCAGTCACCTTTCTTGGGCAAAAGCAAACATTTACTAACCATTATAGCTGAGCCATGGAAATGCGCAGAGAGTGCAGTGTAAGTAAGCACACAGCTGCAGGAAAAGTGGAGAGAAGGGAAAAGTTGCCAGCATACTTAAATACTTCTGTAATGGACAGAGTGGCATAAATTATCAGGCCAATCCAATGTGATCCGTAATTAGTTTCCTAAATCCAATCAATAGCTTCTTTCTTGTGGCAACTCTGAGCCTAGTGTACGATAAAATGGGTTTGTGGGGGAATCTTTTCAGGCTGACTACTGTGCTATTTTAATTTTTTTGTCAGTCACCAAAAGTTGCTGATATCTTCTGAGCGTATGTTTGTGGTGGTCTTATGAAATTAGAAAAAAGGAAGTCCCTTCTGCCACAAATTGGACTATCAACACTATATTTTTATTATCAATTCATTTTTTCTTTTGTATTAGTTTTACATATTGATTTATTTTATATGTTGTGGTTTCTGAGTAGGTGAGTTGTTTACTCCTTCCATTTTCACTAGTTTGACCCATTCATGCAGATAGGTGGGCATTGAAAGGGTTATCAGCCAATCACAGCAATGATTTTTGTGGTTTCCCTACTCAAAAAACACACAAACAACATCCCTGCTCCCAAGTATGTCTCTTTGTTTGTCTCTATTCTCTGTGTTTTAATGTGATTAATTATTCTGTTGTGTTATGTCTGTGTGTGTCCTCTCCAGTCCAGTACATCGTTTAACCGTGATATGGTCAAGGCTGGTACTGGCCGACGGTTCCTGGGTGGTCTGTTGGACGACACGTCATACTGCTACACGCTGGAGGTCTCCTTCTACAGCTACATGACAGCAGGAAGCACCTCACCTGTGCCGTATACTGAGGATGGCTGTATCCTTTCATTCCTCCTCCACCTAATAAAATAACACTAAACTCCAATTGTTTTTGGAAGTTGAAGTTGTAAGTAAATCAAGTCTAGTCAAGTCAAGTAGGCTTTATTGTCATTCCTCCATATGTGGGGACATAAAGTGTACTGTTCAAAAGTTGTGTGTTCAGTAAGATTTTTTTTATGCATTTAAATATTCTGTTCTTTTGAACTTTCTTTATCAAAGAATCAAAAAAAACTATCTTGATTTCCACAGAAATATAAAGCACCACAACTGAAATGTCAGCATATCCACATATTAGAATTATTTCTGAAGGATCATGTGACACTGAAGACTGGAGTAATGATACTGAAAGTTCAGTTTTGCCGTCACAGAAATAAATTACATTTGAAAATATATTACAATAGGAAACAATTATTTTAAATATTTCACAATATTAATGTTTTTGGTTAAATAAATGCAACCTCTTCTTTCAAAAACATACTATCTTGCTGACCTCAGACTTTTGAATGGTGGTGTGTGTGTGTATATATATATATACATATATATGTAGCAAGATATATATATTTGTTTATATACTGTATTTTGCCCTGTCTACTACCTTTCACGTCATGTCTCAAAATAGTTGCTAGTGAAGGATTTGGTACTGTGTGCATTGAGATTAATGGGAATGCTAACAGATACATTTCTCCAGTTTTTATAGACCACCTTGCACACTTCTATTTCTCACTTTCTCCTCTGGTATCTCTGACCCTGAAGTCTCCTTCTGACTGAAGGAGGAAGGGAAGATAACATGAACAGATGAAGGACAAACTTCTCATTTTGTTTCGCCTCTACAAAGTTGTTCTGTCTAGTGAACTGATTAAGTTCTGGGTGTTTAGATACAGGAACCACAGGTTGTTTTATTGACAGAGAGGCTTTGAAGTGGAGCTGGATCCTTTTGGTTATAGGTTGTTTGTGAGTTGGTTTGTTCAGTGACGAGCAAACAGCCTGGTCACTATGTATCTTCCCTGAAGACTCTTGCTCCAACTAGAACGATCGAGAACTCCACTTTTATTGAATTTTCCCCCTCATGAGGAACATATGGCTGGTGTAAAGACCCGATTTTCTCGAATCGATGCTGCAGCTCAGTAGACAAAAGCCAATGACTTGTGCTGCTGTCTCACTTTCTGAAATTATCTCTCCAATGTAGGTGCACCAAGCGACATACTGGGGTGGCGTCATGGTTCGATAATGAAGGCTGGGGTGATAATGTCACTCTATTGAAGCTCGGCTCTCTTCCCTGCGTTTAAGCTGCATGCTGGTCATACAACTCTATCCCCTTATTTACCGAGAACAATGCTCACTCATTGATCTCTTAATTATTTCAGGAATCGTTATCAGAGAGCGAGGCTTTGTTGACCCGGTTGGCTGTTAGACACATGAGCGACGTCAGCTGGCTAACGGAAGTGCGCTGAAACGCTCTTGTCGTTGAGTCGTGTCAATGAAGATGTAGGATGAGGATGTAGATCTACTTCTGTGCAAACACCAACAGGTATACAATCCATTTGTATGGATTTGGTGGACTCATTTAGAGAATATTTATTCCTTTAATTGGAAGAGGATGGGGGTTTGAATCATGTTTGGCTGACTTGAAATACCTACAATTTAAAACAACAACTAAAACAATTGCCCGGAACACACACAACACACTTGTGTGCAGGTGTGTGCGCTTGTCAACTATTGCCACTCAGAGTCAGCTCTGACCGGTTTCAGCACTGACTAGATGGATAAATAATATTTAATAAGTACTTTCAACGACTGATTACTGAAGAATTCATGGCTTAGTTAATCACAGATATTTAGGGGGGCTGAGATGAAAGACCCTAAATCAACACCTTTTTGTAAGATAATACTTTCTCAATGAATAGAGAACCAGAGAGCGATTGGGAAACTGGAATTTTATTTTATTTTATTATTGTTATTTTTTTTTTTTTTTTTTGTGCTCTGTGCAGATTCATATCTGAATCTGAGGTTGAAAGCCACTTTATATAAAGGAGTGAATTCGAAGGCTAAAAGGTCTGTGCAAACTCCAGATGTGTGTAGCTAAAGTGCCCTCTAGTGAACGGAAAAAGGTTGGTTGAACTTTGAGCGTGTGTGTGTGTGTGTGTGTGTGTGTGCGCGCACATGTGTGAGCGTTTCACCCCTGTATCGCTCTGTCACGCACCCAGCTGCTAGACGTTCATATTTACAGGCGTCTCTTGCATTAATTTATTTATTTGTTGGGGGTTTATCTCAGAGCGAGCAGTAAAGCTGCTGACTGATGCCTCATCGGTTTCACTGTTTCTCTCCGCTCGCCTGCTGCCTCGCTGGGCTGTCATCTCCAAGGCCCAGCCGCTTCAGTCGCAGTAATAAGAAACCCATCCATGTAGAATTACTCCACAGCCTTACAGATTATTTTCCCTTAGTGACAGAGAAAAGATAGAAACAACAAAAAAGGCAATTTACAGCTTGCTGTAGTCATAACTTACCTGTGAGGCCTCTCTCCTTGAAACAGCATTTTTTCCCCATCACTTAAAACAGCTGTGCCATGAAGTAGCGACAGGTTAAAGCTGATTGTGGGCTGTGCTATTTATTAGTTGTGCAAAACACAAGCTAACAATGAGGAACCTGCCACGGAAGAACGTTGTACACATTTGGGCACACACAGACATTTATGAGCCTTTCATATAGTGAGAATATCATTATGTGTGTGTATATACTGTATATTTATATTAAAATTTTTTAAAGAACTATAAATCTTGCATAAAATAACCTAAAACAGGGTTATTATAGTTAACTAAAAGAATAAAAAAAGACATTTTCATTACTTTAAATAAAACAGATGTAATTAAAATAAAATGAAGTAAAAAATGTAAAAAAAAAAATAATAATAATTCATCCAAGGAAACATTTCTCATTTTAATTTAGTTTAACTTGATGTAAATAACTAAAACAAACTCAAATTAAAACTAAAAATGAAATAAAATTGATTAAAACTATATAGATATAAACTACTAAAATGACAAAAACACACTAAAATTACTAAAACTTTAAAATTAAAGTGAAAACTGAAAATATTAAAATAACTGATTCAAAATATTAATCAAAACTATAATAGTATGTCAGTGATACTAAAATAACCCTTGTCTGAAAATATATTCTGTAGCTACCTTTATATTTTAGAAAATATCATAATTTGCAAGGCATTCATCATATTTTGGGGTCTTTGGCATTAAAAGTTTTTAAAACCTCTGGTTTTAAATTGTTAGTGTAATAGAATGGAATTTAGATTCTAAACAATTGAGGAAAAACTGAATATGGTGTGACTTTTTAAAGGTTATTTCGTTGTAGATCTGGGAGGGTGTGTTAGTTTGTGTGTGTGTGGCACGCGAGGGTTGAGGGTGTCAGCCTCCAGTAGTGGAAGGGTATTTGCCGTGGTATGTAGTGCAAAGATTGGGGGCAAAGAGGTTACCAGAATGTGACATGCCACTTTTTACAGGCCAGTTGGCAGGTCTATGGAGCGTGCAAATTATCAGCAGAGACCTTTACAGACATGACTTCACTCCCCAATAAAAACCCAAACAATGACAACATTATAATTACCTGCAAAGGAATTCATTCACCTTTCCTAACCTCACTAAACAAACACACACCTATACACACATGCATAATGTACTGCTAATGTTGACAGTGGCACCACCTGGATAGAGATCTCACCATGCTCCCTAAAGCTGTATTTCATGACAGAAGACATTGAAATATCCTTCAGTCAAATGGCTCAATTCCTCACATTTTTGCTCCACCTTTGTCTCATTATACCAAGCATATCGGCAATATAGAACAGCAGCACTGAGGGAATAATTTAACACATTTAATGATTTATCACCAACTGTAATGTCACACAAAACGAGGAAATTTATGATGGATGCACGGTCCGGTCATTGGTAACCTGTAACTGGTTTTTATCGTCGTCACAGCATCCCCCGGGTGATATAAGCTGGTTAATGCCTGTGGCGGCAAGGTGCCTCTGTACGAAGCTGCTGCAGGTGGTTATGACTTCTTATTCATTTAGATTGACAGCATAGAGAGTGGTTACCTTACCTTATAAGGAGCTTAATGTGTTAACTGAAAGTTAAAGTTTGGCTGAAAGTGAAAATGCAAATTTTAAACAAAGTAGTTATCGATCTATACATACATATATAAAACTTAGAAAGATTACATAGAAAGACAACATAATATAAACAAAAAGTGTGTGTATAATAAAATAAAATATGCATTATTTATTTAAAATTTTATATATATATATATACACACATACACCAGGGGTGGCCAACGTCGGTCCTGGAGAGCCACAGTCCTGCAGACCTTAGCGCCAACCCTAATCAAACACACCTGAACAAGCTAATCAAGGTCTAAGTGTTACTAAAAAGCAACAGGTAGGTGAGTTTTTTTTCAAGGTTGGAACAAAACTCTGCAGGACTCTGGCTCTGTATCTATCAATCTATCTATAAATAATGTATGTTTTAGTATACATTATTATTATTATTATTTATCTTTCTAAGTGCATTAATAATAGTAGTTTTTAATAATAAGTCAATTATTTTAACCTAACCCTAATGTTTATTATGATATTATATGTATATACACGTACATATGTGACCCTGGACCACAAAACCAGTCATAAGGGTAATTTTTTTTTTAAATTGAGATTTATACATCATCTGAAAGCTGAATAAATAAGCTTTCCATTTATTTCCTAAAAAAGTACATCCTGATTGGGAATCACTGAGTTATAGAACAGCCCAAACTGTTGTTAAAGTTGATCAGTTTAAGGATTTCCTTTTGTTAGTAATCTCCCTTCATATTCATCGTCATTTATCTGCAATCAAACAACTTAATTGATGAGGGATAATGGAATGCTTTTTGTCCAAGTCGTGCTGTTCCTGAATTCATTTGAAAACGTGAGAGAGAAGTTCTGATGAC